GGCCGCCGCGTGCAGGGGCGGGCCGCGGGGAGGACGGCCCGCCGGGCAGGTGGGGTGCGGACGGAGCGGGCGCCTGCGGGCTTTCCCAGGGGCGCGGCCCCGTCGCCCCTCTCGTCCCCGCGGCGTGCCCGCGAGAGACAGTGATTTATGTGTAGAGAGAGGCAGGGGAAATTTCCTGCACAATGTATCTTTCTCTGTCTTCCCAGCCCCAGTGACTTCCCAGCCCCAGGGAGTGCATTTTGCCTTCTCTTCTGTAAAGCTTTCTGTAGATTTCATTATCATTTGCTAAATACATTACAGCTCGCTATTTATTTCGGTCTGCAGCTTCCAGACCTTTGTTGCTTTCTCTCCAGATCCAGGAATTCGAGTAATAAATCACTGAGGGGGCTACATGGACTCTCTCGCCCTTCCCTTCATTGTTCTTCCGAGCTCCGCCAGATCAGGTGGAAGGTCTCGGAAAGGCGCTCTCCCACGGAGTGCCTGGCTTCCCTGGTGGGGACGACAGAGAGTGGCAGGTGCTCGAGGGCAGGCGCGGCGCCGGGACCTGGAATGCAGGGAACTTCTCGGAGAGAAAGTCAGCCTTTGTGCCCTGAATCAGGCACTTAAAAAACGGAAGGTTGAAGTAAAAACGTAAAGCGAGATTTACTCAGGCCCATGGCAGGAAAGATGAAAGAAGCCAAGTTGATTAATTCTGATACCACGATTCAGTGATCCCATAACTTTAGGTTCCCAGCTGACATTTGGCACACCTAACGAACTCCGCGAGGACAAGTGGGGAGGGGGCTACAGAGTACGTAGTTATTTTTAGTATAATTCTAGACAGATTACATTTTATAGCTCTCCCCCCATAGTCTTTTTTTTTTTTTTAATATGAAAATGTTGGGTGCGGTAGGCTTGGGATAAGATTATAGAACACCTTCAGGAAAATTTTGGAGATTTAAAATTAGTGCCTAACTAGAAAGAATTCTTAGAAACTTACACCAAATACTGTAGTCTCTGTTATGCACATGTTGAAATAAACTGCCACATACTTTAAGTTATATGAGGATGGAGAAAACCTGTTTCATTTTGTGAAGACGTGCCCTGGGTGTATGTTTGGCATCGTGTAGAGAGGAGAGACATTTATATTTCTATAAAACACACGCACACAAATGTATATTGTTTAACTTTCATGCAAAAACTCGGATATAGTATTTGGGAAATCTGTCTTTGTTTGAATAGTTTAGTCAAGCAGGAAAATCAGTTACTAGAGGTACTGTGCTATTGTTTGTGCACTAACTCACTTGGGATGCTTTGATTGATTGCTATGGTTCTCATCAACCTCCTCTTCCCCGCAAAGTACTTAAACAGCTCTGACTCTCAAGCGGAAAGTACAAAGAATCCTTAGGACTTGGAGCATACTGGTGCAGCCTGTGTAGGTTGCTTTCTAAATCTGCCTTGCGCTTTGCCTTTGCAGGTGGTTTGACTTTTCATAAAAGGAATTAAGGTCATTTAAAGGTAGGGCTCCCCCAAGCACTTTCCTCAAGATACTGAGGAAGGCTGTGTACAGGAAAAGGAATTTCTGTCATAGGGGTTTGCTCTAAAGAGGTCAGGTAAAAAGTAATAGCTAGTTCTTAGGCTTTTTGGTGATTTTTTTTTCTGCTTTGCATATTTTCCTGGCTTTCTAGACAACTTCATTTCTGATTTTATTAAAACATAAACCGGAGTAAAAGTTTAATCCCCCAAAGATGCTTCTTTTGTGAACATGAACCTTAAAAATTGGTGATTGTTTCTAAGTAAAATGAGGAAATGATTTAACAAGTTAAAAGCTATCAGTGATGTTAGGGAGGGGAAAGGAAATAAAAAAAATAATGAATTGGAAATTGGTTGTTTTAATAGGCAACTATTAGCTCCCACCCTGTGATCAGCATGGGCACTGCATAGACTAGCCAGGGCGAAACGTTAGACGTGCAGGTGAGCTGCCGACCAGGTAGTCTCTAGAGACATGATCTTACTGCTTGATACAAACTACTTCAGTTAGAAACAGAATTTGGGGTGTGGTTGCTGAATGTAGTGCTTTGAAGGACTTGCTTATGTAGTGCTTCAAAGGACTTTATTTGGTACCTTTTCCAAGAAATGTTACTAACTTGTATGGAATTACAAACTATTTTATTGTTTTTAATTTTTTACATTGTACATAGAAGCGCCATGTGATAATATTTTATTGTGCATTTTTCATGAGTTCAGTAATTCACAAGAGGGTAGGGAGGAGGGCTTTGCTGGATTATTTTCTATTAAAATAAAGGATAGTATATAGAATATACTTAATGTCACTTAAAATACTGGGTTACAATGAAATGAAACCTGGTTTGTTGGGTTGTTTTAATCCTTCAAGTTTTCTTTCATTGTTAGTGCTCTTTCCCTCCATTGTTGGGTTTAAAACATACAGTATCATTGTCATCTGGCCCCTGAATAATGGTCCTGAGGTGATATTATTAATGTGGCTTTTTAAAATCAAACTAATTATACTTGCCTAAAAGAGCCACATGTGTGTGACTCTAGCTGCCTGGTGCCTTTTGAGAGCCCTGGAGACAAGCTAGTGAATAGAGCTGAAAATTCATTCTGTATTTGATTAAATGGAACAGACTCGCTGCTCCTTACCCCAGCAGGGGCTATGAGAGCTCTTGATCCCCGAAGCAAGCGGCTCCAAGACCCTGGGAATTCCATTAGCGAGCACCTGAGGAATTTCTGCCCTGCAGTGCCTTTTTTGTATGTGGTGATGTGGGGTGTGTGTATGTGGGTATGCGTGTGTGTGTGTGTGTGTGTGTGTGTGTGTGTGTGTAGGAAGTGGAGCAGAGTGGTGATTGGAAGGACAGGAGCCGAGGGCGGAGAAAAGGCTAGAAGGCTCCATATGTTAGCGGATCTGAAATCAAGGCTGATTTAATAGCTTATCTTGTAAGAGAAAAGCCCGGCCCAAAGGTGCGTTGCTAGTGGAGACTTAATCATAAGCAGGATTGCAGTGATGTGTTTTTAGCACGGAAGTGAACCCCGGTGTCAGTACGGAAAGGTGCTTTTCTGCTTTTCCCTCCGTGGCACAAGCATATACACGTTGCAGACCTGGTAAGTTTTCTTTGAATGATCTTTTGATAAATATGTAAAATCTTGTTGCAGTTTGGTCTTGTCTGTAAGAGTTGATTGTGTAATAACTCTTAAACTTTGAGCACAAAGTCAGATTTTTGTAGAGATAAAATGCTTATGTGAATGGGCATATTTTAGTTTATTTTTTGTTTTGATAAGATTTTACTGTGCTTTGTTAAGTTATTGTTACATAATTTAAATTCCTTTAGCATGTGACTCTTTTCAGTTGGCTTCTAAGTTTATCAGATGTCTAGTATTTTTGAGGGATTGAATTGTAGACATGCTAGCAGCCCCACCAAAATAAAACCATAAAATCTTTAGAAAAGAATTTTGAGAAATAATAACATATTTCCTTTTCCCCATCGTTCCTACCTCCCCCCAGATAGTTTTTGGAAACAATTTTTCAGAATATTATTACCCAGTGTATGTCTTGGGTACTTTACAAGGAGACCAGTTCTCAGTGGTGTGGTGATATAGTTAATTGATTTTCTTCTGAGAATGTGGAATCCAGTGCTAATAGTTTCCAACTAATGCACAAGGCAGTAACATGTTTGATGATTAATTTGATACTATTTTTTGCTGACTAAAATCATGTTGTATATTCTGCATAGTTCTTTTCATTCTGTTATCATGTCCGGTGCTCAATTTTCCTGACAATTCAATGTGTTTAGGAAAAAGAAGCCTTTTAGAAAGAACATGTTTAATCTTTCCCATCTTAATCCTGGATATGCTTCTTACTAGTACAGCCACATTGGAAAGACTATCAGATGAATTGAGTAAACAGTGAGCTTAGTGCCTCTCTGGTTCGAATGTTAGTTGCCTTAGTGTGTGCTGTATTTTGATGGCTAGAGATGATTGGAAAAAAGAAAAATACTCTCTAGAATGTTTTGTTCTACTGTATATCAGTTGGAAGGGAAGTAGAATCTTCAATTCTTGGGAGCCAATGGTTTGCCTTCTAAAAGAGGAGCCCCATATATACTGGTTATATTATTGCCTTAGGTTACATAGTCTGCTTGTGTTTTGTTGCTTGGATCTCTGTGGTTGATTTTATTTTTGTGTTACCATAATACAAACAGAAAACTAAGAAGTTGATACAGAGCTTGCTTTTCAGTTCTGTTTATAGACCAGCTCGCCCCTTATCGTTTGTTTGAACTTGAGCAGTGATCTTGACTTAGCCTTGGGTTCTGCATCTGTAAAATGGGGATGAAGCCAGCAGTCTCTTCCACTGTGATGGGGATTAAATCAGATAATGAGACTAAAACATTTGGCAAATAGTAAAGCCTTTATAAATGTTAGCTGTTGTTATCTGTATGAACTCCTGGGCCTGTTAGTGTACTGCTTTGATTCTGAAGCAGTTACTTTGAAGTACTACTGAATAATGAGGTGTTCTTGGGAGGCAGTACCAGTGCGTAACTGCTGCAGTCTTGATGTGTTAAAGTCTTCTGAAATTTCTAGTTGAAACAAGAACGCACTTGGAAGGCAATGTGTTGCATGTTTTTTTCAATTGAGGAAAAATATAACAATATACATCTATAAGTACACAACTAGCATACACAGCGTGAACAGCTAGATGGATTGTTCTACATGAGCACACCTGTGGTGACCCTTAGCTGATCAGCTGGCATTTCCTTTACCTCTGAAGGCTCCCTGCTGCCCTTTCTTAGTCCTTTCTCTCCTTTGCAGTTGACTAGTCTCGCTGTGGATGGCAAGTTTTGCCTGTTCTTGAACTTCATGAATGTGGACTCATACACGGCATGCCCATGCCCACTTTCCTGAAAATCTCATTGTGTCTGTGAGACTTTGTGTTATAAATGGTCCTAAGTCATGGCTTTACATCACTGTAGAGTTTTTGTGTATTTTGAAATTTGTAGGACTTCATTTTATTTGCAGGTTGGGTGAGAAAAGACACTGACATTTCTTTTTGAATTATTAGGAAATCAGATTCTAGTGGGTATCTTAGAAAAATGACTGTAACCTCATCTTTGTACATAAAACTGAGTTGAAGGTACTGTGATTACCTTCAGTCACAACTCATAAGTCAGATCCTCTGATAATTACATTCATTTTGTTATTTGTTTTCACAAGAGAAAGGAGACTCAAAATAGGGAAAAAGAAACATTTAAGACAGTGTATAAATGCCCTAAGCAGTTCTTAGAATTGGCAGAAGTAATTAGTAGTCCAACATTAACATAATATTTTTAAATTAAAAATGAAACAATATAATTTTTAAAAAGCCTACTCCCCTAAAAAAAAAAAAGTAGAGCTAGGATTTCGTACTCCGGGGAGATTTTGCAGAATGTGCCACATACTTACATCAGGGAGAAGGGTTTTGGTGACCAGCTTAGTAACAATTGCTGTCAGACTGCTTCTTGCAGTTTTAGAACTTGTGCTTGTGTTGTCGCAATTTCCCAATATGCTAAACAATATTTATTTCACAAGCAGTGAGACAAGAATACAAAATGATATAGATGAATCAGCACTGTTTTTATTTCTCCTCACGTTTTGGAGGGGACTCTGGTTGTGGTTAATAGCTCATATTTCTCTTATTGGAAATGTTGATGAAGGATATTCCGGGTATTCTCCTTGGACACTAGCCATTTTTCTCTCAGGAGACATTGTATTTTTCAGCACTTATAAATGTATTAAATCTTACTGTTTGTTCATAGGTCCTTGACACAGGTCTTTCTTCCCAGATAGCTGTGTGTAGGGATGGGTTCCCCTCTACTCCAGAGCAGCATGTGTTTCCCCTTTCTTCTTAATTTATACCACCCGTGCCCAGGTCACTGGGATGGGAGAGTTGAAGTAGTGATAGGTGATACGTGATATGATCCCTCTTTTGTTCAGTAAGGCACTCAGAGATGCAGATTATGTTCCAAGAGGAAGAATAACTATCTAGCAAATAGAGCATTGTCATGGAAGGATATGGTGAAGGGCTTAAGCTGCTTATTAGTGCATATGCTGTACTGGTGTTTGCAAAGGATAGCATGGAAAGAATCTTTTCTGTGGGTAACTGGACCAAATGACCTCAGAAGACCTTTGTAAAAGCACTGAAGTTCCATAAAATGGGCTTTGTGGTATAACTAGTCTGTATACCTACCATATACATAGTTCTGGAAGGAGAGGATGTGTCCCAAATTCCAAAATAGCCATTGTAGAACTATGTTTTTCCAAACCTACCCCAACTTAAAGATGGGGACTGCCTCTGGGACTTTTTAAATATATCTAGATAGACTAATATCTGACATGGTAATGCTTCACAAGTAATAGTATTTACAACCTTTTTGATACATAGGATCAGTACACTGAGAATGTGCTGGAGGCCGCGAGTTGCTCCAGTGTATCCATTCCTGCAGCAAACTAGATGGGAAGTGAAAATTAGCAAATGCTTGTCTTTTCTTCACCCACATTTATCTAAACTTCGGTTTTAGGAGAGGAAAATAACTCATATTAGGAGAAAAAGGCCTGCATCAGTTACCTTCCCAAGCAACAGAACTATTTAGGATCTTTCTGGGATCCGTATGTATTTAACTTAGCTGGTTTCATATCTTGTATCTATAAATGCAGTACTTTATGATTAGTAATTGGTATTTAGAATGATTGGAGGAAGTCTAAAATGCCAAGTCACCAAAATTTCTGTTCTGTAAAGTGAGCTAATATATTGCTTTCTTATTATTTATATTTGTTGATACATACAAATATACATACAAGGTATACATGCGTACAGGTACCCTCACCATCTTCCCAAAACTTCTAAGTAAGCTGCTGTTATCTTTTCTGTGTTACCATTATCTTTCCCTCCCACCATCATTTTCAAGAATTTGGAGAAGAGAAGAGATACACGATATGAGAGGAAGAAATACTTTGTGACCCCTGCTTAAACTGTACCTCTTCTCCTGTCACTAGTCTTGGTTTTTCCTCCTCCCAAAACAGTCATTTTTCTGTATTTTGTCAGAGTAATATGTTTCTCAAGTATAAATCTGCTCATGTGTCTACTGCCCTGGAAATCCTTCCACGTCCCTGAATTGCTCACTTATTACAGTATAGGTCTTTACCACCCTGTGCACAGTTAACTACCTGCCTGGTGCTTCTGTTATTCCCAGCTATTTTGAATTCCTTGGATGTGTCAAGCTTTGATATTTCTCTCCTGCAGGTTGGGAACACAACTCACATGGTACTTAGATGATGTCTAAGTGCGTACATGTACGTCAAATCCTTACTTTTCAAAGACAGAGATGTCCTGTTCCCCTGTCACCTTCTTTATCCTTTCCTTGCACTCTGCATACCAATAACCTAATACTCAGATGTTCTGAATAGCACTGAAACTCATTTGAATTGTGGGTGGGTGATGGTCAAGTGTGAATTCTGATCTTGGAGTAAAGCCCAAGATTTACTTCTATAGCAAGTGGCCAAATAATATTGATGAGCTGGGTGGAGCATATGGATGGAGTAGGAAGATGCTAAGCCGTCTGCTTTAGATCTGTGAATGATGTGAACGCACAGTTTTGCTCTTAAAAAATCCAGTGAAATCATGACTTTCGTTTCAAGTTGAGAGTGAGGTACTGCAGCTTCAAAAAATGAAGATTATAAAAAGCTTTAGACAATAACAACAATAAGAAATGTCAAGACAGACATTGTCACATTATTATTATTGGAATGTTTCCCAAATATTTCAAATATTTTAACAAGCTTTTGTACTTAAAATGTATATATTTTTTCTGTAAAATGTATATATATTTTTCTTGGTGCCTAGAGAGCTGATACCATGTTTTCCGTGTTGCAAATGCTCTGTATTATGGGGTCCTGCAGGCTGTATACATCCTAAGAAGTGCGTTACGATTTCTGTCTCGTGCCAGGGAAATTTCTGACAGTTACTGGCTTTGTTAAAGTATAAGAATAAAAGTAATCGGCATTCTCTGTTTTACTATAAGTTGATATACTTTCACTGAGTAATTATACTCATTGCCTGGTTGGAGGTAGAATTG